TGCAGCTCTCGGAGATGCAGGTGAGTCCCGGAGGAAGCGGATCCTTCCGCCGCCGTCGGGCAGGGCCAGCCCGACTCGGCATCGGCCATCCCTGCGCTGAACAGAAGTGGCGGCCTTCAACTGGGTTTAGCAGGGGCTGTGGGACGGGTAGTGGGATCCCTCGGGGATTAACGAGTTAACATTCGGGGAACTTACAGGTACTTTCTACCGGACGGGTATCAAAGTTCCTTTATTTCTTAATAAGGTAAACTGCTTGTCCTTTATGTACAGCAATCTGCGTAGACCTTGCAAAGCTTACATATGGTCTTCTAGACTCAGAGTGATTGCTCTAAATCGCTGGACACGGACACCCTTTATACCCGCCAGGTCCTCTGCCCTCGGTTAACTAGGGCAAAAGCATCAGTCCAACTCTGTCAATTAAAGTGGAGCAAAATGGCAAAGGCAGATTAAATACAGTTGTTTATAGTCTGCACATTATTTTTAAGCAAAGTTCATGATTTGTCTCCTCCACCCCCACCCCATTCTGTCTGTTGCTCAGATCAAGACCTGGTTTCAGAACCGGAGGATGAAGCTGAAGAGGCAGATACAGGACCACCAGCACAGCCTCGTGTCTCCTGCTCCACTCTACAGCTACCCCGCGGGGACCCCACCAGCCCTGTTTCAGGATGGTCTCCACTACCCCTTTGCTCCACAGCACCAGAGACTGCTGCCTTTTACCCCGGTGCCTGCTGTGCAGTTCAGCTTCTCCTTTCCCAGATACGAGGCATTGCAAAGCACCTACCACTTTATGACAAATGAGCTGCCGTACTACCACCAACACTTTCTTCCTCATCCTTCTTTCCATCCAGTTATTCAGAACGAAATGGACAAGCAATGCCACCCTGTATATGCATTATAGGGGGTGGGAAAGGGGCAGGCAAAGGGGAAAAGTGTTGTATGCTGTAATGTATACTTTGGTGCTCAGAATCTCTTGTCTAATTTGGAAGAGTATGTGTTTATTATTTTAACTTAAATGTCAAAATGAATGATTTTATATTTTTACTAATTGATATTAAAATTTATTGGATGTGATGACACTTTTTAGTATTAGCAGTCTACTATCTTCATTCAAAAGATAGTAGACTGAAAGGAAGCTGTTGGAAGGGAACTGGAGGAAGAAAAGTGCTAGCAAAAATTTGCTTTTGCTAAATTTCCCATGGAAAAAAAGTAGGGAAAAAAAATTTTTTTAGTCTGAAGTGAGCTTATTAAAAAAATGTTTTTCATTACACATCCCCAGTTTTCCATAGATATATATAAAAACCAAAATCTAAACAGTGGTATATGTGTCAACTCTATAAAGGTTGTACTTGTGCAGTGTAAATGACCATGGTCACCTGAACTCCGATTTTGGGTAACGGGGAAGGATTTAGATGTTTTAATATATCTTACCTGACTTTCCTATACTCATGCTGAGATATATTCTCTATGACATTGAGTGTGTTTGGGAGCCTGGACCTTAACAGTTGCATCACACTGTGCTTTTGGCTAAGTGCATCCTTCAGGAGGAAGGATAAAACTGTTGGTGAGTTTCTCTTCTGAACATTAATCAATTTATCGCTTTGCATTTCCAGTCCTATCTGCCATGTGAAAGCATAAGCTGTGATACTCACATATGTTAATTAAGTCAGTGTGTCTTTAGACAGAAATTAAACAGTCCAAGCCTTCGGTATGGAATTTTAAAGTTTTACAATTACCAAAACAGATATTTTGTAAAAAATTTAAAAGCATAATTGTGTTTGGTTTGTAGCCATATCGTCTAAACGGGGTTTTAATCTGCAAATTTGGCCTTTGATTCACCACTAAATGCCCATGATAATTGCATATTGTAAACGTTTTTTTTTAGTAAATGGAACCCTTTAGAAGAAGCATTTAAAGGGAGTAGCTCAAGCTTTTGCTTTAGCAATTTCGAAATTTGTTGGGTTTTTAGTTCTTCCTGGGATGAGTTTTCACTGAAAGAACTCTGTTAACACTTCTTATTTCTCGATCTTTTAGATCTTAATGAAATTTCTTTAATTCACCTGAAGGGTCTTCTAAATGTATTAGAAACTAAGTTGATTGCTGCATTGTAGTCTAAATTTTTCCCTTCCAATCCACTGAGCCATCAAGAGTTTCTATTGAATAGCCTAGGGACTTCTCACTGGTGAAAGGATGACTCAGAAGGGGAAAAGGGAATTTTCATCAACTATGCTGCTCCTAATCAGGTGCAGTCTTAACTCCAAGAGGATTCAGGTTGACAGTGTTGGAAGCAAACTTGCAGGTCGAGGTGTGGAATTACAGGTTGACTGATCATTAGTAGTCATGCTGCATCTTCCCTGTGTTGCATACTCTGTGCTCAGAGTGACTGAGAATTGCACCTGTCGTCCCTTCAGCTGCATCCCAGAGCAGTGCTGTCCTGGTGTGGCACTGAAAAGGTGTGTGCTTGGAGAGGGGGAAATTCCTACTCTCCCCCCAGACAGAAAAGGTAGGGGTGCTTGAGAAGAGGTTCAGAGATAACTGTACTATGGCATGCTCAGGGATTTTTTTTTTTTTTCATCAGAGGTTATAATTAGACAAGAGATGAGACACAGTGGGCAGGAATTTGGGTGGAATTTTGTCCTCTCCTGTATCTCAATAGCCATGTTGTCTACTAAAGACTGATTTCTACTTCACTCTCTTAGCCCCACAACACAACTATTTTAGTGGGAGGGGAGAGAGGGGAAGAAGGGAAAACACAGCACAAAGCTGTTGTAGGCCCTGTTTGTCAACTTTTATTTTTTTCTTATGAGCAATGTCTAGATAGGAGGGAGGGTTTGGTTTTTTTCTCTTGACAATTGCAAAGTAATCTAACCATCACCTGGCAAGCAGGTTAGGATGGTCAGAGGAGGGGTGTGTGTGTGGTGTTGTTGTTGGCAGAGATGTAATCATTCCTACTGTAATTGCTTTATGCTGATGCAAGATCTTTTGTTTCTCTTTATTCCCCCTAAAGGCTCCGCTTTGCCATTTTCATAAAGTTTGCTTTGGGATTTTTAGGAATGGCTCCAAGTGTTCCTGATAGCAAGCCTAACAGAAACCTGCAGTTTAAAATTCATGAAGCTGATGAGTTACAGCTGAAACTTCAGAAGTAAGAACCAAAACATTTTGATTTTGAGTGTCCCAGGAGACCTGAACGTGTGAGCAACTCCAATGTATTCATCAGCAGATTTAAATTACATTTGTCATCGGCATCAAAATACATGCTTGTCAATTAATTCCTCACCTCTCTTTAAATGCATAAATGGTATATCTACATCAACAAACAGGGGAGACCACAAATGGTGCAGAACATACAGATAAAAGACAATACTGGACAACTTGTTCAGTTTTGCCCATAGGGTTGCCACATTTTGGTACCATTTTCATTTTGCTGAATTTGCTGTAGTTTACAAATATTTCCCTAAGAACCCACACTCAAAACAGAATGGCCAAAGTTTTTAACACTGTTGTCTATTATATGATATAATTACTATGTAAATTGAAGGGTAAAGAGTATTCCTCTTTTCAGCGAGGATCACCACATGATTATAGGTTGGTTTCTGAAAACAAACCTTTGGATAGGAACATTTATATAGGTGTTTCAATACAGCATAGCTAAGACTGTAGGAATAAGGGAAGTTTCAAGTCTTCCCCTTGCTCACCCTCAGTATTATTTCTCTAATACAGGCAAATTCTTTTCTCCTTTAACATAAACACCAAAATTTTATTTAAAAAATTAAAATTGAATCAATCTATTTAATATAACAAAATAAGTTAAATAATTACTCTTAGAAATATTTGGCAGTTCTTATTTAGATTACAGATAGTCTTTGGCATTTTTAACAGGAAGGAAGATATGGCTGGACCCTCGGTCTTTTACGGTCATCAGCTAGAGTCATTGCTGGAATTACAGACGAGTAACAAGATAATCCTGGGCTGGGAGGCAACAGTAAAGCTGGACTTGGCAAAACTGGTTGAAGGGACTGAGCTGGAACAGAAGGCAACAACAAGGCAGGACTTGGCATAGCTGGGTGAAGGGACACAGCAGAGGTAGAAGAGACATTGATGTCCATTCCCCTGGAGGTAGCAATATCTGGGTAACAATGATAAGGCAAAAATAAGCCTGAGAAAAGAGCTTCCACCCTGGCATCTTGAGTCTGGCGTTTAAATTTCATGCGACGATTCTGAAACCAGGTTTTTATCTGAAGATAAAAAAAAAAAAAAATCAAGAAACCACTCACTTGTCCCTTTTCCATGTTAGTAACACATTCTGAAGTCAGACAAACTATCCGAGTAACAGAGTGTATTAACAGTTATAAGATTTAGGGCTAATAACATTGATCTATATTCCGTGTAGAGTAATTGGCGTGAGGGAGAATCACGCTGTGACAACCCCACGATACACGGGAAGCCAATTACTCCGAGATCAGATTTGGACCAGGACTGTAACTCAAGACTGGTGCAATGGGAGTAAAAGCCCAGGGTAGGGCTAGCTCTGTTCCAAGAGAAATCCTGCAGTTCTACCAAGCGTATACATAATTTTAAGGAAGAATAAACCCGAAAGTGGGAATTCCAGTGACTGGGCAAGTATTTTTTACCTCCGATGAGCTTTCACCTTTTGAGTTTGTATTCACCGTTTCCCATTCCCGCGTTGTCCCTGGTTTAACACAAAAGCGCGGCGGACAGCAGAGCTGTGCCCGCTGAAGCAGGGATGTGAGCTTGCTTAAGCCTGTTCTCTGCCAGAGGGATAAGGCTGACAGGCGGCCTGGCAGGCGCTGTCCCCGGCCCCGTCCCCCCGACGATCAGGGGATGCCTACCAAGGCAAAGGCGGGCGGAGGGCAGCGAGACCCGTCTTCCATCTCGGCCGGAGGGCAGAGGCGGGCCCGGGGCGCCGCGGCCGCGCTCACCTGGCTCTGGGAGAGGTTCAGCACGGCGGCCAGGCGCCGTTTCTCGCTGGCGCCGATGTAGCGCTGCTC